AAAAAAAAAAAAAAAAAAAGAAAGAAAGAAAAAATAAAAGCAGTGATATAAATATAAAGGTAGGGCACTGAGGATATAATTTAATTCTCTGGTCTTAGCAAGAATCAAGTAAGTGGTAATTCCATAGGGTAGAGACTGAATAGGAAAGAAAATACATTCAGGAAGGAAGGAAGAGAATGGAAATGAAGGACAGCGTTTATAAAGAGAGGTAAAATTTCTTGGGATGATGATAATATCCATGGTGGATACCTAATTGAGAATAACATCAGAAATAATAAGTGATCATGGCAAATATTCCTTCCAGAATATTTAAAAAGCTTTATAAATTACATGTAAATTGAAGAGAAAAAAATTGACATTAGGAATCAATAAATATAATGTCTAGAGGTTATGCAGTAAAATAAGTGATACTACTAAATCAAAGGAAGACTTAAGTATTTTAAAAATCTATGTGCAATTTCTTCTAAATGACTTTTTACCTATGAGAGCCAAATCCTATATTAGTTTTCAAAATCACAGGCTCAGAATAAAAACTTAAAATTTTGAGACCAGCAGTCAAGATAAAGTCCTTTAGAATAAAAGCTATTTTACATTGAGTAAATCAGTAAGTTTTCAAAATATTAAAATAATTCCACTAATTTGAAGATTAATCAAACCCAGTTTTAATCTTATACAATGTCTACTTGCCTAAAGCCCAATATGAATTTACAATACTTCTTTTGTAACGTGGCAACTCCTGTTTTGACTAGTTGTATGATTCCTAGCCCAGTAGGAAAAATTCACTAAAAGTCAGTCTAAATTTAAAGCCAGTAACAGGAACTGATTCAGAATGTAAGTAACCAGCCTCAGAGTCCCATGAGCTCTATTGAGACCTTTCAGTTTATTTAGACTACACGAACATTACAAACAGCAGCAGCACTTACCTTTCAGTGTGGCCTTCTTTAATACCTTCATGGCATAAAGCTGTCTAGCATCAGAGCCTGAGATTTTTTTAACTAAGAAAACCTGCATTTAAATAAGAGAAAATAAATGTTACAAAGTCTTACAAACTATACTTCTGTTAAAATAAGAACCCTGCTATAATACGGTTTATTATTATTATACAGATTCTCATACATCACAGATCAAGTATTTCCCCTAAAATGTATCAGTTCTAAATATGAATTGTAATAGTAGTTATAACTTGTGGTGTCAATATAAATGAATACATTTTTTCATTTTGTTATTTGCCAATTCCCAAAGAGCATGTAACATGTTAGGAAAGAAAAAAAAATCTTTAAACTACCTATGTAGGAATTAGATGGAGAAAAGCCCAGCATGTTTAAAGTATAACAAAGGTGGTGATGGCTCTGCTTTTCACAAAACAAAAATGCTTTTGAGCCCGTCAAAACTGTTATACGGGGGTTCCTCGTGACCACAATTTCCTGTTGATACTGATGAAGGGTCTTTTCTGTATATGAAAAATGCACATAAATCTCACTGCTTGGTAGAATAATTTAAAACACTTACACTGAAGAATCCTATTCACAAATATTTAATGTGACCTAAGTCAGAACCCCACCTCCCCACCTTTTTACAATCAAATTATCATATATACCTAAATATGAAGAACACAATTCCCAGGTTTGTTATTGAGCATCTTGACTTTCCAAATATTTTTGGCTGCTTTCAAAATACAATGTGGGATTTGTGCTAAATGAATAAAGTCTGCTCTAAATAACCCATGGTCATGCTATAACATGGCCAATACAAGGCTATCAATAAACCTCTTCTACTCATTTTGACCATTGGGTTCATGATCTTGTCCACCAAACCTTTAAACAGACCTGCTAAACGGACCTGAATTTCAACTCTTCTTCCCTACCCATTCTTTCACATTAATAGTAGTGTTCTTAAGCTGCCACAGGTGGGAAGAAGAGAATCAATTACAATCAAGAATTAACTTTAGGATTAGCTCTCAATTATCTGAATTAGCACGTCACGCTATTAACACAAAATCAAAAAATGATTCATTCCACTGATTCTAGGACAAGGCAGAGTTTCTCACTTTGAGAAATTGTGTCAAGGCAACGGGCAATGAACCCAGATCAAGTGAAGAGCACCATGACTTGCAAAGAAACCCTGATGCAGAATGTGTTGCTCTCCTATAATCACTCCCTCCCCTCTTTCACCACGCCCCACCCTTTAGCTCCTTTCAGCCAGTTATTGGGGAGCCAACCTAGGGAGAGAAAAGCATTCTTAAACAGGGTGGTTCTAAGGTGGAATGATGTTCAAATGTTAAAAGTAATCATAGATTATTAATATTTTTGAACAGAAATAAATTCTAATTAGGTGGAGATAATTAGGATTTATTTGATATTTATTCATCCTTAAGATTTCCTAATAAAACTTGTTTTATTCTATAAGAAACAATTTTCTTGGTGGATTCCAAATTTTCTTTGACTATTCTTTGAATGTACCTTCTTAACACTTGTCGGCACCTCTTAGTACTTTCACAAGCATTGTAATAGATTACCATGACAATTTTGGTAGGCAGGCCTACTAAGCAATGCTTATTTTATAGCTGTCTGAACCAGGGCTTAGAGTGGTTAAGTAATTTGCCCAGTGTCACAGTGGAGGTATCGGAACAAGATCCGGGTCAGCCACCCAGTCCTATGCTTCTGCTCAGGGTGTTCTTTATCTGTTCCCGTTGGCCTGTAACCAGCCAAGCCCAGCAGGAGCAGCAGCAGTCCCAGCTGCCACTGCTTCCTCCACAAGAGCATTTCTGACCTTTCTCACTCCCCCATGAAGCTATTCTAGGCTCTGACAGGTCATCCCTGTTTCCTTGGCTTACCATGGCCTTTTAGGATGAGTAAGAAAGGAGATATCCTATTTTTAACGTTTGATATTTATAGTAAGGTATTTAAGTTACTTTTAAAGATGTAAAGGGAGAAGCATGCTAATTCCTAGGAACTTAAATATTGTGTTCCCTGAAAATCTAATGTATAAAAATAAACCCATCTATTTGGGTTTATCAAGTGGCATGATAATACAATTTAATACCAGATATTATATCACTTAATGACCTTATACCATTTAATTCTCACTACTATGGGGTCGGGACTATTACTCATTAATTCTTTCCAGAATTATATGCTAGGCACTGTGCTATTGGTTTAATGCTAAGACTAGGTACAAGGCATGGCCCTCGTATTCATCGAACATACAGTCTAGTGGGGGAGATAGTCAATAAATAAATGAAAAACTGCAATTGTGCCAAGTGCCATGAAGATGAGGTATATAATGTTCTGAGAGGGTATAACCAGGGAACATGACCTGTGCTGGATGGCAGGGAAGGCTTCTTTGAGATCAAAGGCACAGAGGAGCTAGCCAGCAGAAGAAGGGGTGGGAAAGAGTGTTTCAGGCAGAAGGAATAGGATGGGGAAAGGCTTTCTAGTGAGATGAAGCTTAAGGACTCTGTTTAAGGACCAAAAATAAGGTAATGTGGCCAGAACACAGAGAGTGAAAAGTATGTAAACTGATGTTGGAGAGATAGCTAGGGGCCAGACTGAGGAGCTCCTCAGCCATCTTAAGACTCTGTCCTTATCAAAAAATATAAGGGAGGCTACTGAAGGGTCAAGGAGTTAGAGTAAAATATTAGTTCATGCTGGCTGTCGTGTAAATAACGGATTGAGGCAAGAATACATTTGGGAAGACCCAGTTAGGAGACTCTTTCAATAGACCAAGTAGAAAGGTGGTAGCATGTTCTGGAGGGGTGGCAGTAGAGAGACAGGCATGCTTTGAGAAATCTTTACTAAATTAACAGGACTTGGTGACAGATCAGATTGGCTGGGGCAGGAGTGGGATAGGGGATGGCAGGAACTAGAAAGATATGTCAAGAATGCCTCCCAAGTTTCTGGCTTGCTTAACTGGATGCCATTCATAGTGTTAGCGAAAAATGAAATAGGACAGACTTGAGGGGTAGGAGAAGATCATGAGTTTGGTCTCAGACATGTGGAGTTTAAAGTTCCTTTGAGACGTGCAAATGAAAAAAAAGTAAGCAGCTGTGCCTAAAGAGTTCAGAGCTTGGAGGAGTAATCTAGGTTGGAGGCCAGGTGCGGCGGCTCACGCCTGTAATCCCAGCAATCTGGGAGGCCGAGTGGGGAGGATTGTTTGAGCTCAGGAGTTCGAGACCAGCCTGAGCAAGAGTGAGACCCCGTCTCTACTAAAAAAAAT